ATCTACAGAAGGAGAAAAGTCACACCGCAGCCCTTCGCAAACTCGTACCACACATAGTTTCACAGAAGGAGGTTTCATCCAACTTACTACTGAAGCCTCAAACAAGGCGTGCATTTGTTTTCTTATTCTCTGCCTTCAGTGATCTTAGGTATCCCACGTGTTTGTGAGAACCGATAAATCGGCTCTTGGAATCCTAGAACAGGCAAACTGCATGCTGGATGGCTCCGCAACTGGCGCTGTCATTCTGATACACCGAACTCTGGTGGTGGGCATAATCGACTATCTGCGTACCTTTACACTGAACAGTCGGCTAGAGATGTTCGTGAAGCAGGTACTGACTGATGTGCAAGGGCCCATGCCTATGGACTATTGGGAGCATTTGCCCGATCAGATGGAAGCGTAATTTCCACCTTGTGCTCGGTCAGTGGTACGAACACTTTGCTGATCACCGAGAGGTCTGGCGTTTCTAAGGCCTTCCAGCATCATTGACATTCCCTCTTTATTCCGCCTTATTGAGTAACCCCACTACAGTTGGACAAATCATTTCTTGTAGGTTTGGTGCCATTATGGAATATACTTGTGAATATTTAATCTTTCTTGAATATTTTGTCTGTTGTTTTTACGTTTGCCCGGTTTGTCCGACTGCCATAATGCTAAGAAGGATTTTTGTCTGCAAAACCTTTACTTTAGTCCCAAGTGGTTTTGATGGATATGGCAGTTGGTGTAGTTAGAGTACCCCAACCGGGAATCTATTGTGCTATGAAGTGTTCGCCTTCAAAAACGAGCAATCAGAAGGCAGCTGAGTTGAGTTGCCCACTCGTCATCACTATGTGCTTAGTGGAAAACTCTTCACAGTTGTTTGGTATTGATGGCAAATGGGTCTTCCTTGAAGGGTGTAAATATTGTTCTCCTAGAAACGTGTAATTTCGTTGTAGACGCCAAATGCTTGGTGAGGAGGTAATTCCCAAAACAAGAGGGAACCTGACGATTGCGTAAGTGTTTTCGAATTTGTATTGCTCCTTACTTACTCTGAGTTCCTTATCACATTATTGCCGAAAAGTTTGCTCTGTTTTTGATGTACCCCTGCTACAATGACTGGCTGTAGCGTAAGCTGTATAGCCTCGTACCGGGATACGCTTTGGTCTGTCGGTACGGTGTCACTTAGAATAATGTGATTTATGAATGGAGTTTAACCCTGCTCTGGGGCTGTGAAAGAAGGCAGCATTACTAAAAGGCACCACCACTCAGGAGGAGTCACACAAAGAGAGATTCATTGCATTGAGGTAGCCTCCCCATTTTTGATGGCGTTGGTGAATTGCTTGCTAAGAACAACTTTCAGTGATGGCTAACAACGAGTATTTAAACAATGGTCTTATCGCCATAACACTTCGAATGGGAAAGCCATGAAAGTCGCTAAACAACTGGGCGTCGCGTGCATTCACAGGTGAGAAGTTGGAGGACTACCAACTTGTTTTTATTTAATTCTGTCGCGTGTATTGTGAACTGCGTTAGTGTTGGGCTGTCTGACTGAGCGATCTGTGTTGGGAAATGGCTTTTGTAATACGATGTTCGGTGAGCGAATGAATATCTGATAGGCTGTGCCCCAAAAAATTCACTGCCATTAATCACTGCACACTTTTAAGGCATGACGTTTCGCAATGCGAATGTGCTACTTGCAGAGGCTGAAGCTAAGAAGTAGTCGGACTTGGAGTTGGATCAGCCACCAAATTACACGCTTTGTCCGTGTGTGTGTGTGTGTGTGAGAGGGTGCGTGGGCTGGACTGTGGGCGGAGAGAGAGGCGGGAAAGTCGGGGTTGAGATCCACCTACTTGATGCGATGCAAAAGGGAGAGGGAGAGACAAAGCTCCCTACTACAAAGCAGTCAGGGGAGGTGGGGGAATCAGTGGGGAGAATTTATTATTGCTACACGACGACACGTCACAGGGCGTTATACCACTCATAAAAATGTACTCATGAGAAGACGTGCACTTGAGGATCGGAAGGCGCGATGAGGCGATGCCACCTCATCTTCGTTCTTATCCTCATCTTTATGGCTACCCTTTGTAGTCTCATGACGATATTTCCATGTGTCAGATACCACCTTTCCTTGGCAAAAGCATGAGACAACCACCGGAATACATGCGAAAAGTAGGTGGGGGTTGGGAAATGAAAGGAGGATGAAAATGGTGGTGGCCCCTGCTATGTTTTTGGCTGTCGTAACAAGGTGTTTTACAAACCCTGAATTCGGTATTTGCTTCCACATTTGGGGAAGATTTCAAATTGTGGTGGTGATTGTTTCAGTGAGTAAGTTTTGTGTATTTCTCCCTGGTTGCCTACTCTATCCCATCACTTACTCCCAAATTTTTGCTTAATTTTTTATTTTAGTCTCATATGTGACTGTTTTTACCCCAATATCGGTGGGGTGGAGAGCCACATTTACCAACTATCCCAATGTCTACTTTCACGAGGTCATCGCGTGATAATAATCACCCATGCTTATGGTGATAAGCATCAACGTCAAGGAGTTCGCTACATGCCCAGAGGTCTCAAGCTATGTTCCTTTCTTATTCCTTTCCTTTCTGATTGAATCTCTTTTGTGGATTTGGCTTATTTTGAGGAAAGTAATGCAAATAATTCATACATTCGTCCAGACTCTTGGATGATGGTCATTCCTTTGTTCAAGCATCAATATGGGAGGCTACTAATTAAGTGCAATGCATTTGTCTCAGTGATTTGGCGCCAAAAATGCGGTGTGATAAGATCTAGTTCGTATTCTGTACTACGCGTAGTGTTGTTTGTGTCGGGTGCTTGGTTCGCCTCTATTTCCTCACCTAGATACTTAATCACAGGCCTCCAAGTCCTGTGGTTTTGTAGCCGTTTCAACCAAAACGACCTATCCAATCCATACGCACACACACTCCCTGAAAATCCTCAGGAAGTTACTGAATAAACTTAGGCTTCCCCAGAACACATTTCTCCCTGCAACATGCCTCCCCTCACCGCTGTATAAAAGATTACATGGGCGTCGTTAAGATACCCCCTAATCACCCCTATTTTCTGTCATTTTTTGGCAGGTTTACTGCATCCCGTATCGTTCGTTCTACAGCCAAGTCGTTTTCATCACTGTGTTTGGTGGCCTAACAATTGTCCGCGATATTTTTATCCGTGAAAATGTGGATGTAGTTCACGGTCACTCGGTACGTGCTTGCATCACTTTAAAGTTGCCCTCTCGTATATCATTCCGTAGAACTCGCCATACCTTTTCGGAAGGTTTGAAGAGTAGATGCAGTCATGGTTATGATCGAATAATTGGGTTGCGTTGCACGGCTCCCTTTTGTCGTTTCGAGTCGCAGCATCGCTCCCCGTGTTAAGAACAAGGACCAAATGGTAGATTCGGCATCACAGAACTCTTTCAAATAAAGTACTTATAATGCCATTTGTGTATTTTGATGAACTTTATCTCTCAATAGGCGCACTTTGAATGCCAATCATTTGTTCCTTGTCCTCTATATATTACCTCTGAGGTTATTTCTCCAAGTGATGAATGCCACTTCTTTTGGC